GCACTCCTGGTTCTGGGCTTCATAATATGTAAAAAAAAAAAAAATTCTCACTGTTTAAGCCACTTTGGGTTGGATTTGCTGCTACTGGCAGGCAAAGGCGTTCTAACTGAAACATATTTTGAATGTGCTTGTGAAAGTCTGGTCCCTTCCAATCCATTCCCACTGGTGCTGAGGCCAAGTTCTAGAATATAAATCTGACAACACCACTCCCCCATTTCAATACATTCCATAGCTCCCCATCACCTGCAAAATATAATCCAAGAGCCTTAGCACTCAGTCTAGCCGTGCCCAACCCCCTCCTTGCTCTCACCGTTTCACACTTCCATGTTGTTGCTCACCCTGTCCCTGCTCCCTGGAGGGAAGGCTCTTTCCCTCCTTCTCCTGTATTGTTCCCAGGACAGTCTGTTCCACCATCATCTCCTCCAGGCAACTTTCAGACCAAGTCCCCAGCCCCACTCCCACCCCATCCAGTGCTTTCCTCCCTGGTTGCATTAACCTCATTGTCTATACATCTTTTTTGCATGCCTGGGCCCCTACCCTCCCACTTCTTTATGAGTTCCTTGGAAGCAGGGGCAATAGCTTGCTCATTTCTCCAGCCCTGATGCCTAGCTTGAGACCCAGTGTGTGGTAGATACACACGTGCAGTGTTTGCAAACCTGAATGGAGCTCCCCATACTCATCTTGTGTCCCCACAGACACCCCCTCAGACTTCTCCCAGCCCAAGTCCTCAGAACCAAGGCCTTGCCACCCACATCCGTGTCACTCTATAGAGAAGCTGGAAGAAATGTCCTATCCAAATGGGCTTGCTCTAAGAAGAAGCAGATGACCTATTAAATCACCAGATTAAACAGTGCCATTTGCCCGAGCATGGGCTCCCTGCCAGTGTCCCCGATGCTGTAGTAAATCACCTACTGCAACAGAAAGCCAGGGTTAGGAAGTGTGTTCACAGCCACTTAACCAGCTGTGTGAACTCAGAGAAATTACTGAAGCCCTCTGTGCCTCAGCCTTCTTATTCAGGTAAAAGGGCTGAGCAGGTTGTTGAGAAGAGTGTGATTGTCTCAGAGACGATGACCAGTAAATGACAGCCATGTTATTTCCTCTCTTCGAGCTGAAACAAGCCCCTAGAAGAAGGACACAAAGTCCACACAGAGCACACCCCAAACACTTGGCTAAGGCAGGCCTCCTTTATAGGTCAGACACCAATATGGCGACCACACGGCAGAACTATACTAATGGGAACAACAGGGAAGGGAGAGGGCTGGCATCCAGCAAGCAGTTCCTGCGTGCCAGCCTGTGCTACACGGCGTGCACCTGTCCCCATGCACGTGCGTCACAGCAGCCCTGCAAGGAAGTACTTTCAGTCCACTTCTAGAGAGGAGCAGAGAGCGAGGCTGACAGAGGTTAAACGACTCACCCGGTGAATCCACATCATGAACCCAATTAAGTGGGGGAGTCGGGGTCTCCACTCGGCTCTGGCTCCCATCCCTGAGCTCTGTTTACTGCTTCGTGTTACCTCCAGACCACATGGAATAAGGCTGGCCTGACACATCGTGGACTTGTGTTCCTGCTGATAAAACTGGAGGAGGTGACCAAGGAAGGGAGAGGGAAGAGGGAGGTTCAGGGGTGATGACAGGGGCGGAATAGGAGAGTGAAGAGAGAAGCTCCTAGAAAAGATTTCGCTCATATCCCTAGCATGACCCTGGAGGCGGTGGGCAGGAGGGGGGAGCTTTGACTATGTGTGCGTGTATCCATGACTCTGTGTGAGTATACGCATGTGCGTGTGATTGTGTGTAGGGCTCTGTGTGTGTTTGCGTGTGTATAACTGTGTGACGGTGTTCCATGTGTGTCTGGCTCTGTGTGTGTGCATGCGCATGTGTGTACACGTGTATATGACTGTGCGTGACCGTGTGCATGTGACATGTGTATGGCTCCGTGTGCACGCACGCATGTACACGGGTACGTGTGTGTGCATGTGGGGGAGGGGAGGACACCTTGCATACACCGGCCTCCCCCCCACTTCCAAACACACTCACACGCTGGCTGCATCAAGCCTAGACGTGCCCCATGTGAGCTCCACGTGCAGTCAGCAGAGGGACACTTCGCCTATTAACTGTTGCAGGCAGTTCCAACCGGCCAGGTGACATCGGTGTTCCTGGCGCTGTTGTTATTAGACCAGGACTGACCCGGCCAGGCTGCCTAAGGGGACAGCACAGGGGGAAGGGGAGGGCGGAGGTGCCTTCTCTAATCCAGCCAGGCTCCCCTGGACAGACCTTCCCACATCTGGACACACCACGGCCGCCCAATCAAAGAGAGAGCTCTCTCAGCTTTCAGAGATGTTCAGAGCATAGGGGAGACGCACACACCTTCCCCACCCAGCAATCCATAGCAGCAGGCTGGGCCTCCGGCCGGGGAAGGGGTGGGAAAGGGAGGGGAAAGGAGAGGAAGTGGGCTTGGCTCCCAGGCTCCTCAGGCCGCCTCAGCACCCATCAGGATTCACCCTCCACCAGCCCTGTCCCAGGTTTCTCTCTCTTCCTCCCTCTCCTTCCATCTGGTGCGGTCTATGGGTGAAGAGGGCCGGGGCCCACCGTGGGGTCATGGCCGCCTGCTGGGAACAGGCAGAATTGAAACCACATCTCACTCCCCATCCCTGCCTAATCCCCCCTGGCTACCTGCCCCTCCGAAGTCCTCTGAACTCTGCCGGATGGCAGCCGCCACAGAGGATTTTAGCAGGACAAAAGAAGACTCTTATGGAGTCAAAAAAAGAATCTTATGGGGCCTGGATGCAGTACAAATTCTTACCCTCTCCCTGGACTCCAGAGATAAAAAACCATAGCCTTATACTTACTTAACATAAAAACATCTCAGCGGCTGGGGAAACCCTTATTCTCTCAGTTCCCTAAAACTTGGGAGCCCCCAGTGTCCCCAAACACAGTTGACCAATTCAAGTTAGCAGCAAAGACTAACTGGAAAGTCCCTCCTTTGCTTCTTTGCAAAACAAGATGCAGAAACCAAACAATTGAGCATGGTGTGTGACTGCCTAGGACTGGGGAGAAAGAAGAAGAAACATAGGTATACACACATATAATGTGCATTATGATAATTGTCCAACCTTCCTGTGGTATTGTGGTGCCTGCAAAGAGCCTTTCACCTCCATCCTCTGGTTTTCGTGAGTCACAAGGTACTGGAAAACAGAAGTTTACATCCTGGCTCACACCCTGGTTTCCGAACTGAAAGACCTTGGGTAAGTTATGTCCATTGTACAGGTGAGAAAAATGAGGCCCAGAGGGGCCCAGGGTCTGCCCAAGTCACAGAGCAGCATCATTCACAGTCATGTGTCCACCAAAGCCCTAACCACGGCCACAGCTCTCTGCGCTGCCCCCTAGCTTTTCTTTCACTCGTTCTAGCCTTGGTTAGAAAACCAATTATTACTGCACTCGCTCCCAACCCTCGTCTTCCTGGTGCGAGAAAAAGAGTCCCCTGGTAGCAAGCTGATATTTGGACAGTCTGAGAGCCAACTGCTCCGGAAGACATGGCCTTCCCCTTCCAGGACTTGGTCACGCTGCCAAAACAAGAGGAGAAAGCTTCCAACAAAAGTTTGTTTTCATGGAGATTTTATTTCCTTCGCTGAGGCTCTCCCGCCACAGATTTCTCTTTGTTGGAACTCGCATTCAGAAGTCACCAGATACACAGCCCCTGACCCTCTGAGCCCTCGGGGGATCTCACGCCTTTATCTCCCCTCCCAGGCCACCAGGCTGCCTGCTCCCCCACTCCCCCACTCAAAAGGCCCTTTGAGCCATTCTGGAGAGAGAGGGGCTCTTGGAGTGGACAAGGGGCTTCACTGGGATGAGCCCTCCACATCAAAGGGCGAGGGACGGGGCCCTGCGTGCACGTGTCTCTGAGAACTGGCAAGGGGAAGAGGGTGCCTAACTACCTCCCTGTATCCCTCGGGCAGAGGTTGTGTTCCACAACGGAGAGGCTGTTAACTGAGGCTCACACGGCAGGACCCACATCTCCCAGGCTGTCCCCAGGGCTTGGCTCGGCTAGCACAGAGGCAGGGCCAGCCCAAGCACAACTCGGAAGGGGATAAAATCTGTCGTAGATGCACAAGGCTTTCCTTTTGCCCTTTTCAGGATCAGCTGCCCTCCCAGGTCCACAATTTAGAGATTTTACTCTGGCTGTCTCTCTTAGCAAGAAAGAGAGGGGCTAACATTAATCCACGCTTCGTGGGCAAGTCTCCCCGGTGTGTGCATTCAAGAGAGAGGGAGAGAGGGGGAGAGGGAGGGCAAAAGAGAATCCAAAGAGTAAATGCTCAGCTCTGGGGGATAAATTGCTAACGGTAGAATTACAGGTTCAAGAGGCCAGTGGGATTTGGAGGTGGCAGCAAGGCGAGGCCCCCGACAGAGGTCCAGCTGTCCTCAAAGCCTCCCTTCAGGAGGTGGGCCCTCTTATGTGCTGTCACGGCCATGGACATTAGGGTCAGGCAGAGCTCATTCTGATTCTCAGCCCTACAACTTGCCAACTTGATGACCTTGGGCAACTTAATCTCTTTGGGTCTCGTTTCCGTCCTCTGTTCAGATGGGGATGACACCATCAAGGATGGTGTAAGGAACAGACAACAGACCCAAAAAGCCAAGCAGGGTGGCCAGCCTGTAGGAGGAACTGGACTCTCCCTCTGTGAGGCCTGAGGTCATGGTGGCACCATCGGTATTTCTCTTTAGGTTTCCGTACAAACAGTCTGGGTCTTCCTTTGCATATACCCTCTCACCCTTGCCCCAGACTGTAGCTAGATGGGAAGATTTTTAATGTTTACATTTTTAAGTGCCTATGTGAACTTTTGTCATGAGGAGACAATTAAGACAATTTGCAACGCATTTTTCAAAACTACCACCTCATTTGTTTCTCAAATGGTCTCATTCCCATTTAATAAATGAAGGAGTCACAAGTCAGGGATACGAAGTGACTTTTCCAAAGTCACTCATCAGGTAAGCAAGAAAGACGAGGCCAAGCCTCATCATGACTGGCACAGGCATGTCCAAAGAAATTCCACCCTGACTGGGGCAGGGAGGGGTAACAGATATGAAGGATTTGGGGGCTCATATGCAAAGGGAAGCCAGAAAGGATGATGACTTTTTGAAGATGGAGGGTTCTAAATAAACCTTTAGAGTCTGGATTTGAAAGTCCAGAAGCTTGAAGGCAGCTCAGAGGGATGTCTGTCAGGCAAGGTGGCAGAGAAAAGAAGACAGAGTCACACAATTTCTGTGGCAACTCAGGAGTTCAGGGAAAGCTGAAGACCAGCAGAAGGCGGCCCTGGGCCAGACCAGGCTGCGAGAGACTGAAGATGTAGTAGAAACAGCATCTATAGAAGTTTACTTTCCAAGTCAAAGTGAGTGCTGAGGTCAGACCCTTATTGACCCACCTACCCAAATAGTGTGTGCCCAAGTTCTCAATCACACAGTAAGAAAAAAGGGGTGGGGAGGAACTAGGGAAGGGCATTGGTCTTGTCCTAACTATAGAACCAGCCAAGAGGCCCTCCCTCCATGGGAGCTGGCTCCATGGATCATGTTGCCTCTCCATGGGCACCTTCCATTAACCTAGGAATACACAGAGTGGGGCTGTGACCTTCCTTCTCTCTCCCCACCCTATTCAATGGGGTCCCTTGACAACACTAAGCTCTGACAGACCCTTTAAGAGCAGCTTCCTGGGGCACCTGGGTGGCTCAGTCAGTGAAGTGTCCGACTTCGGCTCAGGTCATGATCTCATGGTTTGTGAGTTCAAGCCCCGTGTTGGGCTCTGTGCCGACAGCTCAGAGCCTGGAGCCTGTTTTCAGATTCTGTGTCTCCCTCTCTCTCTGCCCCTCCCCCACTCGTGCTCTGTCTCCCTCCCCCCCCACCCCGAAAAAATAAATATTAAAAAAAAAAAAAAAGACAGAGCACCTTCCTCTCCTCCCAACCAGCGTCAACCTGTCAGGGCCAAGTCAGGTGCAATCACACCTGGCCTACGATGCTGACTCCTGAACATTCCATTCGGAGATTCCAGGATCTCAAATCCATAATTACCAGCTCCAGAAAGAACGCCACCCCTCTGCCTCCTTGGGCACACACAAGACTGACTACATGTTTCTGGACTGATCTCCTGCTTAACCAGCTGCAAAGGGACTCTTGCAAAGGGAAGATGAGGAATCCCTCCTGAGTCCAGGGAAGCCACTAGTCTGTACTGTGAAGCGACTGCAGACAGTCTCTTTTTGCTTTCCAATATACTTAATCAACATGAGAAGGATTGTGAGGGCTGGAGTTTCTACAGGTAGAACTAACAGAGAAGAATAATGTTCATAAATCATTTAGCATGCAGTCCAAACAGAGGTGTTATTTTTTTTTTTCTTAAAGGAAAAGGCAATGCCAAAGAAATAGAGCCATGTAGGAAACCAAATTCACTGTGACTTGTCCCCAAATGTAGTGTCCCCAAGTGGAGCAACACAGCCCATTCATACCCTTTTCATCTGCAGTCTGACCCTGATTTTCCAACTTGGGTCCCTCCCCCATCCCACAAGCTCAGACCAGCAAAGGGGTCAGCACTGGGGACAGACAGCTGATAAAAACAGCTGCACTCCTACCTAGCACCGCAGCCCCTGTCCAGAGACCGACTGTTTCTCCTCCGACTGTTTCTCCTCCGCAGCTGACTCCACCCTGGGGCAGCTGGGCCTGAGCAGGGAGCTCCAGAAGGAGGGGAAGTCAGGCTCACAAGGCCCAGACTACATTTTTTCAGGCCTCAGCTCGAAAGTCACCTCCTCAGAGGACCCTTCCCTTGCCTAGCCACCCCATGGAATGATGCCCATGCCCCAGCCACTCTCGACCATCTTCACCTTCTTTATTTCCCCTTCAAAGCAGTTATTACTACTTCGCATTGTATTAGAGAGATGTTTATTATGTGTCTTCTCTACCGGCATGTAAGCTGCATGAGGGCAGAAAATGTATGTTTTGTTGACAATCAAATCTCCAGCACCTAGAACAGGACCTGATGCATAGTACCTACTCAACGAATATTTGTTGAATGGATGGATGGATGGATGGATGGACAGATGGATGGAGAGACAGGTAAGTAAGTAAATAAAATGGTTCCTTCTCCCTCATCCAGGGAACATTCCAGATAAAGAAACCATTGTCTACCCCAAAGTAGGAAGATGGTAGTCAAGAGCTAGGGATCTGTTGCCGATTTCTGATTCTGTCATTTTGACCCAGAGTCACCAATTCCTGTTCATCAGCCTTACCCTCCCCACCTGTAGAATGGGTATCATTCCAATGCAAGAAAGACAGGGAGGGAGGAGTCGGAGAGAACTCATGTTTATTGCCTTCTCTTACTAGTGCCTTATACCATGCTAGGGACCTGACTGATGACAATTGCCTCCTTTAATCCTCAAATTTAATCCTGTGAGATTAACATTATTACCTCCATTTTACAGATACAAAAACTGAGTCTGAGAAATATAATTCACCGAAACTTGCACATCTAGGAAGTGAGAGAGGGAATTTCAACCTGGGCCTGCAGATCCCGGAGCCACTTCTATGTAACATGGTGGCATCCCGTTGCAGTTTATCCTTTCACACGTGTGTGCGGTGCGTCGTCCCAGAAGAAAATCCATGAACTCTGCACTCTTCCCAAAGTAGAAGTAGGGAGAGTTAGGGTGGTCAACTGGTCCCGGTTTCCCTGAGACTTTCCCGACTTCCACACTGAAAATCCCGTATCCCAGGAAATCCCTCAGTCTCAGGTGACCCGGAACAGTTGATCGCCTTCAGGATCACAGAGACCCTGAACACTGTGGCCAGAGAGCATGGGATTTCCTCAGAAAAAGCGTATCCTTCACAGGTCCCGCTGGCAGGGATACAAGGGTCCGTCCGTGTCTGTGCCGCACGGCTGTGTGCCCCCCAGCACCGCACCGGCGTCTGAATTGCCACACACAGGCTGGAGCCCACACTGGCGCGAAGGGAGAGGCAGGGACCCGTGAGGTGTCACGGCTCTCCTTTCCCTGCATGCACTTCACCTCAGAGCAAGAACAGCACGGACTCCTTCCCTTAAGGACTGCAACCACCAGGTCGAGATGACCTCCTGAAAGCAAAGAGGGCAGATTCCTGGAATTCCAGTCAGCGAGGTTGGGCAGGAAAGGCAGAATTCAGGACTGCCAGCAAGTGACCAAGAGGTAACACAGGGCCCAGGAGAGGGACCCTCCCAGATTCCCAGATCAAAGGCACAGATTCAGAAAGATAGGTCATCTCTGTGGGGTTCCCTTTCTGTGCTAGAAGCTGTCTCTCTATTCTCCGGCCAGGCTCTGGCAGAACATTTACCACTTCTGTTCATTCTCCCGCCTCCAGAGGGAAGACCCAGCCAGGGTCCATCCCCCCCCCCCCCCGGCCCCACCTCCACCACCTTGCTTCACCTCCAGTGAGGGCCAGCCTCCATCCTGAACCACTTTGACTCTGGGGGAGGGGCTGATCTAGATGAGAGCAATCGCAGCCTCGAATATCAGTGGAGACCAAGTGAAAGTGAAGGTGGGGGTAAAGGGTGAGGTGTAGGGGTTGCATAGGACACGCTCCCTCCCACCTTCAAGATTTCTACTTTCAGGGTCTTAGTAAGGGGCCCTTTGTTCATCTGTTCCTTCATAACCCAGGTGGTTCTGACCTGCATCTCGCAGCCCACAGCCATGGACCACAGCCCCCCTGTCCTCCTCTTCCACCCTCCAGTCTGGCCCCACTTACTCCCGTGCTGTGGGCCTGTTGCTTCAAATTTTTCATCCGGGTATCTTCAGTGTCCTGGCTTTGTACCTAATGTCCTTCCTCTCCTCCTCAACATGCTGTATCTGTAACCTCCCTCTCCTTTTCTCCTGCCTCAAAAGTAGAGTCCCCTCTTCCTATCCTAGGCTGTCTCCACCTGGGCTCTGACCCTCCATCCCACAGTGCCCATCAATTGGGACCGTGTATTTGTGTATCTTCGGTCTCTCCCTCCACTCAGGCTACCCTACTCGACCTGCAAACACACAAACTCTCCCCAGACCCACAGGCACGACAGTGCAGTAGAAAGCACTGCCCAGAAGGCAGAACTCCACCCATGACACTAACTGGCGCCGTGTCCTCCAGAGACTCAGTGCCTTCATCTGTAAAGTGGGTGTAACAGCCCCTGCCTGATTCCCTTAAATACTGTGAAGAGTAGCAAGAGGATGGACTTGACATATTTCTTAAATCGTAATATGAACGTAAGAATTATTTAACCTTCAAATTATTGTCTTAACCCTCCAGAATGATATCCCTCCCGTCTCTCTCTTTCCTTCCACTGCTAAACTTTTGAAAGATTAATGTGTGCTCACAGCTGTCATTTCCTCTTCTCTCCCGACCCCCTGAAGCCTGGCTGCTGACCCACAGTTCCAGTGACGCTGCACTGAAGGTGGCTGAGAGGGCTCTTCCCCCCACCCCCCGTCCCCCACCCCTCTCATGCAATGGCCATTTCTCATCACGATCCTCCTCAACTCAGAGTGTGACACTTGTCCCTTTTCCCTCCCTCCACAGGCTCATCTTCTCGTCTTTACTATTGCTGTTAATGGTATCACGTCTCTTCCGATCTATAGAATCACCAAGCTGTAGAAATCTTGGAATTCTTGTTGATTTCTCCCTTGCCACCACCCAAACCCTGCCCCCTCCAGCTTTGACTTCAACCCCTCAGCTAACCTACCCCAGCACATCCCCACATGGGCAATTTCAGTCCTACTCGTCCAACTCCCACATAATCTCTCTTGTTCACTTCCGCCTTACCCAGGACTGACCTGCATCTTAGTTCCTTCATGACTTTTTATCCCCAGACAATTACAGTAGTCTCCAAACTTGCTCCTCTCTGCTCTGATCTATGTTACACATTAGAGTCAGCAAAACTCCCCTATAAGGCAAAGTCTTCTGTTTTTACTCCTTATATAAAAAACCTGTTTGGCTCAGGTTGTGATCTCATGGTTCATGAGATCGAGCCCTGTGTCGGGCTCTGGGCCTACAGCGCAGAGCCTGCTTGGGAATCTCTCTCTCTCTCTCTCTCTCTCTCTCTCTCTCTCTCTCTCTCGCCCCTCACCTCCTTGAGAATAAATAGACATTAAAAAAAAAACAAAAACAAAAAACCTGCAATGCAAGGCTCCTTGCAGCCTATAGAACAAAGTGCAAATCCCAAAGCCTGGCATGGAAAGCGTTCACACCAGGGCTCCAACCTGTTTCCAGTCTTAACTTACAATCTACTTTGGGTTGACCCTACAGTTTTAGTTAATTAGAAGATTTCTTGTTTCCTGACTATGCTCCATACTTAACCTACCTCAGGGCCTTCGCACATCCCATCTATCTACTGAAATGCCTCTCTTCCACTACTGCCCATTAGAACCCCACTCCTCTGTCAAGCCCAGCTCAAAAGTCATCTTTCCATGAAGTATTTCTTGGCAACCCCAGGGGGAAATATATTTCCTAATCCAACTCACAGTATAACATCTATGATACTTATCATCTTTGTGTTATAACTATTTATATCTTTGTCCTAACTCTTCTAATAGACTTGTTCATTACTGAATGACATTTAGCATACTTTTAAATCCACAGTAATTATGCAATAAATACTTGCTGAATAAAAAAAATAATAAATGACTAAATTAAGTCTCTCCAGTGGTTTCTAATCCAAGGGTCTCAGGTAGGATTTGCTTGATGATTGTAGGCAACCAGCTCATCTCCTGCTCCATCCAAGAGTCCTGTGGCAAAGCCAGGTTAACGGTCAGCCACACCTCATCCACATGTGATCTCACTACTTCCTCACCTCCCATGCACTCCTCACTCCTCTCCAATCTTCCACCCTCGTCTGCACACCTGGGTGCCAACGGCTCTCACATCAACAAAGTCGGTGAATACTCGCTAGTCCTTTTCTTGCTGGATTTGCCATTGTTGCTGCATCTGATGCTGTGGTCTCACTCTCCATCACAAAACTTTTTAGTCTTCTAATTTGGTGATGTCACCCATTCCAGATTCTTCTCACTCTCCTCCTCTCTGTAGCTTGTCTGTGGTTTTTCTATCACCATCTTTTATCTTAAATGTTCCTCTGGATTCTCTTTGCCTACTCTCTTCTCCTTCTGCACCCTCTCTCTGGGTGATCTCATTCACTTTCATGGCTTTGACTGCCATCCATGGGCTAATCCCTATCTCCAGCCATGTCCTCTAGTGTATATTCAGTTTCCTGACAGACATCTCCAAATAAGTGCCCCATACATATTGGAACTCAGTGTGTTGGAAGGGAGGAGGGAAGGGAGGAAAGAAAGAAGAAAGGAAGGAAAGGAGGGAGGAAGGAGGGAGGGAGGGAGGGAGGGATAGAGGGAAGAAGGAAGGAAGGAAGGAAGGAAGGAAGGAAGGAAGGAAGGAAGGAAGGAAGAGAGGGAGGGAGGGAGGAATAAACCCACCCCCCAGAAGACCTATTCCTTCTCCT